GTGTCGCCCCCCCCCCCCCCCCCCCCCCCCTTCGATTTATATTCACGTTTTCTCTCCTCTCCCTTTCTCTCACACACACGCTAGAAAATGTTCATGATGAATAATTTATTACCTACTGGCTACAACATTAAAAGGCTTGTTGAGATGGCTGAGCATTTTACTTAAGGAATTGAATATCAAACAGAACATAATCATCGACCATTTTACTAGTGTATATATATGAATATCAAACAGAACATAATCATCACCCGTTTTAGCATATAAAGTAGTCACATTAGGGCAACGTTATAGCAGTTTTGTTCGTAATTCTTTCCCGATGAGGTTGGTGAGCCAAGGATTCCACTGAGCTAAGTTGTAAACTATAAACTGATTGCTATTCCTATTCATTTACAGAATCGAAGTTTGACTTAATAAAGCCCTTCATGTAAATAATATTTTTGTTGGATCCTTAGGTAAGTAAAGAAAGGTTAGTATTATTAGCACCCAAAGATAATACTCAGAACCAAATGATTAACTTGTGATATGAACAAAATAAATCTACTACCTCCAAATGATTAACTAGTGATGTGAGCGAAAAAAATCTACTACCAGCTAGATAAAAAACATAAGATATTGACCTGTTGTTCATTACTTTGCGAAACTCAAAGCATCCAAAGATTTTAGCAATGAGTCAGTCGACCTAAACGATGATTGATGAAGTAGGTAGGAAAGATACTTGGATGAAGTTATTTTGTTTTATAATTCAATTATTTTATATTTTAATAATTCCATTCCAGGCATTAGTAAATTAGTTGCTGTGGTGTAGTGGTTATCACGTTAGTCTTACACACTAAAGGTCCCCAGTTCGATCCTGGGCAGCAACACTTATATTGCTATTGATAATTTTACTTTTCTATAATTTTGAAAAAAAGGAATTTTCAAGGTGAATCTAGGCCCATAGATAAAGTAATCGCTTTAGTCTCCAATTTATGTTTAAGGCAGTTTTGGCTCTTTTCCCCTTAACGAAAAGCTACATTTTGCATGGCCTTTCGAAAAGTTTAAAGCCCTTTTTTTAAATTGTGTAAACATTGTTGATATCGACTTTCTTCAGGAACTGTGTTAATAGTTATTATGTCATGTGGACATATAAATGAATAAAATTTTTCAAGTCACGCTGTCTACCATAAAATATTGAGAAGTTCAAGCTCAATTACCAAATGCCAGATATATTAATAAAAGAATGTGTTATACTCTTACTAGTATTTCTCAAGTAACAGTGTAAAGTGATTAAAATGGCACAGCAATGTCAAAGGTAACATGAAGAAAAGAAATTAAAAAAAAAATAGAAAGTATTTTGTTAGATGAGGAAAACTCCAAAATTTCTCGAACTACCTGTAATTCATCATCGGATAGAAAATCAAAACACGAAAAACTTTCTTTTAGCCTCTGCTTCTATAGGTATAAAAGAAGATAAAAAAAAACTTTTTTTTTACTATATGTTTAAGAAAAATAATAAAGAAAATCATCGTGACATACCCAAAAATACTTTTTCCCTAAGTAGCTATGAAATGAATCTCTCTATTTTTTATTTTTTTTTTATTTTAATTTCTTAAAAAAATATTTTTTTTTGTTTTTTTTTTAAAGTAATTTTATGTTAAGAAATAATGACAATTTTTTTTGTCATATAATTTGTCGATTTCTTCACTCTTTCACTCACCTAAATAAACATTTTTTTTTATACTTTATATTTCTACCCATCTAAACAACACATTTTCACTTTATTCATTTTCCATTTCTATCATTTCTATTTCTTTAATTTTTTTATTTATTACTTTCCTGAGTTTCCTCTATTTTGCTCTTGATCCAAATAAAGCATGACAAAATCGTGAAAGCCAAAGTAAATCTGTGGTTATCAAACTACCAAATTTTCCACATTCCCTGCTTTAATTAACACGGCATGAAAACTTTAGAATCTCAAGGCAAAACGGCATTAGCAGTCATACTGTTGCCCATAAAATGAACTAAACCATGCCGATAAGAAGGATGAATGCAAAAATAAATTCCTAAAAAAATGTAGCCTATAAAAGAATGATCAAGTGCAAGTTTTTCTGTGTTTTTTTGTAAGACTAGGATTTTATCAGTTATCAGTTATCACTATGCAGAAGTGCCAGGCATATCCTCAGGCAGGTGAATTGATTCTACGGGTTGTGGCCTCGGCTTCTGAACTGGGGCAGGCTTTGGAGGCCTGTTAGGACTAACTTTATCAACTGTGTCTTGTTTCACATCGAACTGCAACATGCAAGATATACAGTAGGGTGGGTCATTACATATAAAACTTTGAATATAGCCTTCAGATTCATGCACCCTTGCAAATTCTTTACATTCAATAATAAGAAATGTTACACTTCAAAACAGGTTAGATTAATCGATTAGTCCATTAACTATTTGGAGATTTTTAAATAGGTTTCTATACTATAAAAACTTGCAATTGGGTCTCTAAACTTGTAAATAATTTTCAATTGGATCCCTGATCAGTGATCACATTTCTGTTAGGATTTTATTAAGTATAGGGACCTAATTGAATTCTTTTAAATAATTCAAGGACACTGAATAAATAAATTTGCAACTCAGTCACTGAACTATTCGAAAATTTTCAATCGAGTCTCTGTACTCAATGGAACGTTGATGAAAATATGGTTAAGGACCCAATTAATAAATATATGGAAAACCTGCTTGAAGGCAAGAGAAAGCAGAGAGAAAATATTAATGGTTTAGCAAAGAGAAAGCATTCAATTTTCTGTAGAACTTTATCTGGAATATACCAAAAGTAAAGGAACAAATAAACGTTTTTTACATGATTTTTCAAATTAAAAACACAATTGATTCAAGGCCATTGAACTGATTTGAGATGGAAATTCCCATTCACCATGTTGTGCTCTCTACCTATGGCACGATATGGATGTAAAGTTACTATGGAAAATATATAAGATCACAGTTACTACAATAAACTTTTCATTTCCTTTTCCTGAGAACTACAAGCAAAAAATGTATTGTGTGAAGTGGGCATGGGATGTCCGAAAGGCAATAAAGCTAAAAATCATTTCCTTATGTCATCATTTTAAAGATTCTCATGCTTAAGAGTCCTTTCATTTGTCTTTTTTTTTTTTTAATTATATATATATATATATATATATATACCCAAGGGAAAGGGGGTACACAACAATTAATCAAATTTAGGTTTTTGAAATCAAACTGACCTTATAACCGCAACCAGATACACAAGCAAAGAAACATTCCTGTATCAGAAGGTATTAACCATCATTAATTCAAAAGCAAAACTTTCCCATAACTAATCTTAAGCCACTAAGAGCTATGATTATGTTGCAAGTGAATAACTAGTGGGCATATTTATTTACGTAAGTTTTGACTTTCCCTCATGTGATGTGAATCCCACTTCCCAGCATATGGATATTAGAATTTTGAATGAAGGGGTATACAAGAACAAAGCAAAATAGGTTTTTAAAATAAATCTCCATTGACTTCGTAATGCCACAACACTTAAAGAGTGTCTACCTAAACTGATGTTCTTGCTTCTACGACTTGTAAGATGTCATCTCTTTACTTTCAAAATTCTCCCTTACAAACCAATGTCAAAAGTCAAAACTCAAGATATCATTTGAATAGTATATTGCTGGAACATGCACAGCATCAAAGGGACTGAGTTTTTGGTGAGGAAAATAATATTCCTCAAACTTTACAACAGCCTAGCTTTATGCCAATTTCTGGAGCTGCCTAAAGAACTAGCTAAATGACCACATTAAAACAAATCAAGTAGTAAAATCAATTGTAGCTCATTATTTGGTAAGCATAGACCAAAATGAAAGTCACGTAGTTGTGTAGAACCTATCAAACCCAAGGCTGAAACTTAAAATTCAAATAGTGATCAAGTTTAAATTAAAAAAGGTAGAATGAAACAAAAATGTAGCATTGGTACAAGACATTATAGAATGTTATGTATGTTTATCATTTGGACTCGGGTATTTATATTTAGCAGTAAGACAGAAGGATTTGGTAAAAAAATAAAGGGAAAATGTAAAGGGTGTGTAGAAAAATATGCCTTTGATATTTACCCAATTTTATGTTCTTCCCTCCAGCAATAATCCTCAAAACCAAACACTTGAATCATGGGCTTGAGTTGAATAAGTATGAATTCAAACTAAATTTAGTATGAGTTAAAAATTGAAACCAAGTCACTACCAATGAAGATCCATTTGCAATCTTGCTTTAATTTTTTAGCACATTGCATTGTTCTGTTTCCCACTATATACAACTACAAATGATAGAGTATTGGATCATTATTTTGTCTACAGTTTACACAAAACTGACAGTTTCTCCTACCGGTATGTTTCTTTATTACAATTTATGGGGTTGTAATGCATGCATTTGGAATATGATAGATGGGTTGTGCAATTTTAAATTTGGTACACATAATGATTTGGACAAAACTTCAAGGTGGTAAATTTCAATTTACCATTAAATTTATGCGAGTTGTGAGAGTAGAAACCATTAAAGAAAAACTTTGTTAGAATAAGCCAAAGCAGCAATAAACTATGTTGCATGTAGCTAAATACTAAAATGGAAACTTGGGAGGTAAAACTGTAAAAGAAGCATGGGATGGGAGGAAAGAAAATACCTCTGAATAACTGGCCGCACCAGGTGAACGATCAATATAAGCACTCCACTGTTGGTCCTTTAGTACAGGGTCCTTGTAACATATTTGATTGCATTCCTCCAGACCTGGTTGGCCAATAATTTATCATTCATACATTAGAATCAAATTCTGCAAACTTGCAAGAGCTACTTCTACAATCATCATTTCAGCCCTCATAGTAAGATTTAGTGCACAGTCAGGTAATCCAAAATGTGACAAGATCTCTGACCATGAAAGGAATGAAGACTAAGCTCCTGTTTCTGTTGATTCTGTGTTGCATCTGAGTGTCTTAGTTTGATGTGTGGTGTGGCACATGTTGTATAGATACTAGCATGGTAATTGAAACAGATATGGGTATGGAATATAACAATTTTAATGGAACTAGGAATGGGTACATTTATCTGCACACACACGTAATGGTAAAATTAAATAAAAGATAATAAATTTCAGTGTCACATAAGTGGAGGAAAATAACTGCAGATCGTTCAGAAAATATCTATAGTAAAAATAATTAACAAAAATTAACTAAACTCAATTGGAGTGCCGACTGTTTTAAATTGTGCACTGATGTCACCAGTTGGGTTGCTCTCCCAACTCAGTCAGCATTGCACCCAATTGAAGACACTCCTCTCACAGATAAGATGAATTGGTTTGATTTAGCAGGGAGACAAAAATGAGAAACAAAGAAAAAGAGAAAAAAAAAAAAAAAACAGTTGGTGCACGACCACTATTTCAGGCAACGTCAAGTTTTTATATACGACCACTACCACAATTTAAAACTTTGCCAAAATCCCTAATCCTGACTGAAAATTTGTCATTTTCGTGAAAAAGAAAAAGGGTCTAGCTAGTAACCAAGTCATAACCAGTCACATTGAGGCTATTATCGAGTCGTGTGCCCTTTTTTTCTTTTTTGAAACATAATAATGGTATGTGGAGCGTCCAACCAAGCTAAGGAAAGAGTCAACCGAAGTATACAGAGCAAATGCCGAGCTTCTATAAGGTCAAAGGACCAAGACCCTTGAGCCCAAGACCTTTCATGCACGTGGGAAGGGTAGAATAAGCACCACCCCTCCCGACAAAAGGCCGGAATCGGACAAGTTAGAGAGCACACTGTATAAATAGGTGTGAAATTGTATACAAGGTGACAACTTGACAAGGTTAACTTGTTACTAGAAAGCTGAAACTTTCAAAGACCAATTTGTAAGTAAGTGCACTTTGAGTTACCAAAGCAACACAAGTAGTCAAACTCTAAGAGACCAAATTGGATACCTATTTTTAAACAGTTTATTAGGGATAGGAACGACCTATTGATGCAGAAACACAAAAAAACTGAAATTTAACCTAGATTTTAAGGAAACAATAGCAAATTTGATCAGCAAACCCTTTGAGAAGATAAAAAAAAAAATGAATAAAGTATGGAAATGATCTCACATTCCTCCCATGTCTCCCCGTCAGAGTTGCAGCCCTTTTTGCAGAATACTCTCCCTAGAAGGAAATTTTGAATGAGAAAGAAAAGCAGAATACTTATGAGGGTTCCATAAATCTTGAAATGAAATTGAAATGAAAATAGTAAAATATATATATATATATATACATGGGATTTGGGTAAGTGCAGCGTATTTGTTGGTGCATTGATTTCCACATGGAGACGCCCATTGTTGCGGCATCATCTTCCTCTGCTCTCCAACTCACAAAAGGGTCAACGGTCAACACTTCCTTATCCCTGTTCCATTTCGGATCTCAATTCTCAACTGCTTAATTCCGCTAAATTACAATTTCCCCCCTTCAGAATCAGATTTTATATTCACTTTCGCTTAATTTAATTCATTAATACCTCATCAACTAGATTTAAAATATTTTAATTGGATTCTTCCTTGTGTAAATTTTTTTAATTCAGTCTCTGCCATTTTTAGTTTTTCCTGTCGCTACAAATTGTCATTTTTAAAAAATTATTTTAGGTGGTCAATAACTAATTGCAGAACCTACATTTGTTTTTCATTTACAAAAATAAAAAAATAGTTTTAAGGACCTATTTAGAATTTCTAAATAGTTCGCAGACTTGCTTGGTAATTTAAGCTTTAGTTTTCTACTAATTTAATATTTCAGTTTAATTTAATTAGTCACAGCAAATTTGTTAAAACACTTTGTATTATTTCTCTAAAAGTTACTCTTAAGATTATGAAAATTTATTATCTTTACTCTTTCCGCTTAATTATTTTTTGTCCTAATTTTATTAGTGCGTAGGAAGAGAATAATGATTAGACATTTTATTTTATTAATTTCTACCTAATAGTTTTTTTTATCATCATGAGAAAAATGTTATTTGATTAATTTATAACATTAGAAGTAAACTAGTATTTTATATATTGTATAGGTTAAATATTTATTATATATGGTTAAAATTTATAATAAATTGTATATATAAATATTATATTTAAATATATAAGTTATATTTAAAATTTGTATAAATGAATATTTTTAAATATATAAAACATATTTTAGGTTTATGATAAATAATTTATATTTTTATTTATTGATAATAATTTATTTTAAAATATTAAAATATAATTAGATAAAAAAAAATTTAAAAAAATCTAAAAATTATTTTCTCAACCGTATAACAATTCATATAAATTCTTAAAAAACAGTGTAAACAATTTTTAAAACTCAAATAAACATTAAGGAGGTGTATTGAATTTGAATTTCAAAAAATTTTAAAAAATTTATTATAAATTAATTTTTTTATAATATAATAAAGTCACGTGATATCTAAGATAATCAAAATTTTGGTTAAAAGTACTTCAAGATAATATTTTATAATAATTTTTTTACTTAAAAATAATATGTTAATATTTAAAAATATATAAGATTTCAATGAATTATTTTAAAAGATGAATTTTATGAAATTTTCAAAAAGAATTTACATATAATTTACTTATTCAACAATCTTATTAAAATTTTTAAGATTTGACATGACTTTTATTTTTTTCTTTTATATTTCTTCTTTTTTTTGCTTTTCTCTATATCTCATTTTCTTTTCCCTCTCCTTCTCCTTTATTTTTCTTTTCTATCTCATTTTTTTTTCTCTTTCTCTTCTGTCTTTCTTTTTTCATGTTTTTTGTATCTTACATTTTCTTTTTCTTTTTTTCATGTCTCTTATTTATTTATTTATTTATTTTTTCTCTCTATTTTTAAATCTTTGCTCTATCTATCAATATATTTGATTGCATTTTTATCTATCAATATTGATATATAATTTATCAGTATTTGTTTTTTTTTTAATTATTAAGTATTTAAAATTAATTTTGAATTATTAAATATTATATATTGTAAAAATTTTAAATTATTCAAATTTAATTTTTTTTTATTTTCAATAAAATTCAATATTAAAATGTCAAAACTTTAAACATATATTAAAAATATATTTTTACAATTCTACCAATTAATGAATATAATAAATTTGAACATATTTTCCAAATTTAATAGTATAAATGAGAAAATATAAATGTTTAGAAGATTGTATTAGAAAAATGTTACTTAAAAATACATGAAACTAAAATCAATTGTTTATTAAAAGATTGAAAAATTTATTAATTTTATTTTCTTTGTTGAACCTTGTCATTTATATTATTTTTTTTATTAATTATATATATTTTTTAAAATCTATATCATCCATTGAAATCTAATAAAATCTATTAAAATTCATATGACAAAATCTTAATTAATTTTTTTAAAAAAAATCTTAAAAGTCATTACATTTTTTCAATGTTTTTTTTTTAAAAAAAAAATCTTAAAAGCCATTAAACAAGAATTTTTTATGCTAAAAAGCTTATAAAATCTCAATCCAATACATTAAAAAAAACATTAATAACATAATAATCTCTTGTATAATAAAATCTTTATTAAAAATAATCTCAATTAAGTTATTTTTTAAAAATGTCCATATATAATCAATATTTATTTTTTAACTCAAGTTTCCATAGCATGTTATTCGAACCGGAACGAAAGAAAGAAAGCAAATGCCATATATCAACATTAATTTTCATCTTTAATTCTATAAGTAAAATGTTACAATTTTTTTTAAAAAAAAAGAGCATAAATGCACAACATATCTAAATTAACAAGTTACCAATAAACTAACGCTCCAAGTGCCTATTAATAAGAACTACATAATTTCATTCCATTCATCTATCATAAGATGGGTGAGAAGAAAATGGCAACACTTTATATGTGTATGATGAGTTTTGGTTTGTTAACAAGCATGGTAAGTGGATTTCAAAGGGAAGAAATAACATGCAATGAGGCTTTAACTTATTTGTTGCCATGTGAGCCATTCATGTTGAATTTGGGTCCACTAGAACCATCTAGTCAATGTTGTGGGGGTTTAGTGGCAATATTTCTAAAGACAAAGAAACTTGGTGTTCGAAGATCGATGTGTCAATGCATCAAGAAATCTACACTTGAAGCTGGTATCAAGCATGAAAGAGCCCAACTTCTTCCTCAGTTTTGCAAGATTCACTTCGCCTTCCCCATTACTCCAAATGCCAATTGCAGTTCTTAAGTCCCATTTTTCTTCTTTTAATTTCTCATATACATTATTTTTTTTATATATCATTTGCTTATTCTTAATTTTATATCTAATCACATGCTGAGTTTCGTGATGATTCAAAGTGTGGAGTGCAAATAATAAACGTATGGTCTACAAGTTTGTAGTAGTACAAAAGAAGTTCTACAACTTGATACAAAACTTGATACTTCAATTTTTATCATTAAATATACCTACACCATAACATAATCTAAAGTGTAACATATAACTTAGAAACTTAATTATAAATCTTTTTCATTTCACTTAATCAAATTTTATTTTATTTTTGATTTCTTTTGTTTTAAGGCCCACAAAGTTGTAAAATAATAACAACAGAATATTGAAAGAATAAGTAAATAAAAAAACAACGAGAAAGGAATTCGAGAAATCTAATTAACCAAGAAATGTATAATAATTAATGGTTTAATTATCTTTTTAGTTTATATAATTTCATGAACTTTACTTATACATACTTTTTTAAATATTTTTTTAATCTTTATAATTTCATAATTCTTATTTTTAAGTTTATATAAAAATGGACAATAAAGATTAAAAAGATATAGATAAAATAAATAAATAAATACTAAAATATAAAGATTATGAAAGTATTAGGACGAGAATGATAATTATACCTAAAATAATTATTGGGATACAAACAAGTTCCACATCGATAAAATATGATAAAAAATAACTTATATAACACAAACATACTTCAATGATTTAACAACCCCAACATAAGTACCATAAAATAATCCCAACAATAATAAAACAAATCACCTACATGGAAAGTTTCATATACTTAATTAAGGTCGATTTAACAACCTATCAAATTAGTTAGGAAAGAAAAATGCTAATTGTTATGAAATTTGTTTTCGTGAAATGCCCGACAATGAAATTTTTTTCTTGAAACAGCTTTATCTTTTTAAAATAGTTAATTTTATCTCCCATCATATAATATGTCATCTCTCGATTAGTTGAAAAATTATGTTACCCTTTGTAAGAGAAGTTATTCGTACCAATATTTTGCTGCTTGCACAAAGTATGTGTGGACATCGTATTGAGAATATATTGATTGTAGGTTACATGGTAGAGAATAAAAAAAAAATGTGAAATACTATTAGTATTAGTACTTGATATCATGATTAAAATATGAAAATGAAATAGAAACAGACAATTGTAGGTGGTCCAATTGTGCCACGACGTACTGTTGCTGACATTGTAGAACGTGGGATTCAGTGATTAGAGATAGGATTTTATGTCGTTTTTTATTCTTCACGAGCCTTGGTTCTCTGGTATAAATTAAAAAAAAAAAATATTTTAAATTAATTCTTATAAAATAATTATTTTTATTTATAAGGATCGAATTTAGTACATGAAAATTTACAAATTCAACCAACTTTAACTACATCCGTGCGTAATTAATTATACATTTTATTTTTAACAAAATCAAATTAATAATTTTTCTTTTGTTATAGAATTGATTTGATTCAGATAATCCATCGTCTTTCTGAACAAAGAAATCTGTAGTTGATGTATGATGTACCCTAAAATAATGTAACCCCATAGTTTGTTATCTAAGATGAACGAGAGTGTATTAAGCTGACATATATAATCTGCTGTAATAACCATTCACCATAGCATAGGCATAATCGAAGTATCAAAGAGAGAGTGAGAGATGGAGCAACTTCTGTGGAGGGTACTGCCTTTGCTAACAATCCTTGTTTCCTTCATAGTATTCTTCTACTTGCAGGATTCTTACAGGGCTCAGTTATATCCTATCATAAAGGTTCACTTCCATTCCAACTTTGACTTAAGGGTTGTGCACAAGACTTATTTTTTGCCACCACTATAGTCACTGTGACTAATTTGGAATTTTTGTTGTGATAATCTCAACTGCCATGGTCTGGGAATTTGAAGAGGGTGTGGGTTTGGGGTGTTACCGTTATGTAATGAGGGTTGAATGTTGTTGACTTTTTGTGCCACAGTTACCAGGGGGTAAGTGCAGCCTTCTTCCCCATCGCCACTTCTGGATAACCAGCAAACGCATTGTCACCCCACAAGGGATCATTTCTGGTTCAGGTTTTACTTTTCTAACCCTTTATCATTATAGTTTTATTTTACTCTTTTCATTTTGTGTAAAGTAAGGTTGTTAAGGTTTTTGTGTAA